AATCACGACAAGTCAAATATTATTAGGCAATACTCAAGATAAAAATAATAGTTTGATAAGAAAAAGTAATTAAAAAAATAAAAAATCTAAAAATAAAAAGAATTCTCGGTACACATTATAAAGTATGGCATTTTTTCGCCAAATTTGGGATCGTTATCTCGCTTGATAAATTTTATTTATTTTTTTTTTTTAATTCATCAAACTATAGTTTCGAACGCGCAATCATGACGTCTTATGGCAAAAACCATCATTACTCTCGTATCATGTATTATTAATTCAGTAAAGTCAAGATTTAGGGTCAGATAATAATATATGCATTAATTTAACAATTCTACAATTGAAATTTTACATGATGCAAGTCTTTTTAATAGTTGAAAAAAGTGTTTCTTATGATTCGATCGAGCAAAGTTCTCAAAGAAGCGACAGGTGCGTTTATGTACTTTTTTCTCCAAATGTGCCCTCGATTTGGACAGGAATCCAAAAATAGAATCGGTATAAGTCTTGAATAATATCATGTTCGTTGCAACAGTATATCATATCCGGTGTATGGTGGGTATACTTAATTATTAAAGCTTTTTGAACTGCGGCTCCAAAACGAAATGAGATGAAATTAATTATTATGTTTGAGTCAGAGAAAAACAGCACGAAGAGAGAAACGACCAATAAATCTATCAAACTCAATATGTGCAGGCACTACTGGTACATATAGTTAAAATTTTTAATACACCTAGACGCTGTCTAATGAATAAGTTTTATGCTTCGCGGTGTGTGTGTGTGTGTGTGTGTGTGCACAACTCTGTATCAATATCATCATCGTCGGCCATTCTTTCGAACATCAATCGGGGTTCGGAGACTTCGGAGCAGCAAATAAGAGACTATAAATAATTGTATGTGTGCATGCTTATACGCATGAGCACGAGTATGTTGTATGTGTGCGAGGGAGTAAAAAAGAGGATAAGTATAAGACAACCACGACAATAGGTAGCTTAGTTGGTGGTTGCTTGGAGCAGTGTATAAGTTAAGTAAGTAGCAGCTGTCTGTCCTAAACAGCGGCGAGGACGCGCTGACAGAGCCTCTCCTCGTCGCACACAAATGCTCAGCCAAGAGGATGACGGGCCCCAACAACAACATCACCAACAGGATAGCTATCAGTGCTTCGAGGAGGACACAAGCAGTGCAGGCACGACTACCACTATTGGTATCGCTGACTCCTGGAGCAAGTACCGGACGGTCGATAGCACTGGCAACGTCAGTCCCAGTAAGCCTTACATTATTTATGAGTCTACTATATATATATTTGCTCTCAGTTTGTTGTTGATTGCTTGCATTTTGTTTTTCTCTCCTCCTCACTTTGTTCTTAAATATCTACTCGCATTTTTTTACATTTGAAATACCTCTAAAATCTATCCATATCTTATGCTTGTCATTCAGCTTCATTGACAACTATAATAAAATAATAATAACCAAGGACTCTCGTCTTATTTTTTTTTTAATTAAAAAAAAATAATAATACCCACATCCATAATACTATACTGCTACTGATGACTTTAGCTGTCAATTGATGCAGTAATAACTAATTGCATCAAGAGCAGAAAGCTCTCTCTGTTGATTGATGTTATGATACCTATATATATATGATGTGAAGCTTCTGCTGCTGTCATGCTGATTGTTGTGAGTTTTGTTTTGTCCGACTGCATGTTCCTGTTATTCACCTGTTACAATAATATACAGTACACTTATTCGTGCTTACAAGTGGACAAGTGTGCAAGAGTACAGTAGATTTCTGTTTGTTTGTTTTTTTTTTCTTCTTTTTTTATATCTTGAACAATTATTGTACACAAGAGGTGAAATCGATAACGAGATAACACGCATTTACGTCATTGCATCGAGTTTTTCCTGGAATCGGATTTAGATGATAGAGATAAAGAGCACGACGTTCTCAGGTATTCTATTTTGGCGCAGTCGTACGAATGATTTTCTGAAGCTATGGTGCATTTAATCTCCCGTAAGTTGGTAATAGTTTTATTTTCTTCTTTTTTTTCCGGTTTTCAAGTGGTTTTACAAAAAAGTGTGATTTTTTTTTTTTTTTTTTTAATTTTGATGGAAAAATTCAAATATCAGCCGCTGTTGTAAGAAAAATAGTTAATCACCTAATTAAACGAAGAGATTCTTTCCACTCGTTAGCTCACAACATAGCTTGATATTTTCAAATTAGTGATTCTCGTTCGTCGGGATAAATTTACTAACGATATCAGTGAAAGGGGAAAGATTTATTTCTCCCAATCAATCTCACAACTCTTTTTTTAACTCGAGGTATCTTTACTGAAAAAAATATAATGGGCATTATTATGATCAAGTCACGTGTACGTGATAAAATTTAACTCTGAGAAATGAATGCAGAACTGTTAAGTATAGCAATTTCGCTAATTAGATAAACTTGTCCGTCCTCTTTTTTTTTTTTTTTTTTTTTTTTGTAATTAACGACTCGAGAAAACTAGTTTATTAGCCTGTAAAGTAAATGAGTCTGGTTGCGTTGATAATCGGTTCAAAATGTTATCATGTTTGCGCGGAGAACAAATGAAGAATGTTTGCACGCTCATATTACATAGGCACTGCTTGCTTTTAATGTGTTTCTTTTAGAATATGGATCTATGTTGTCTTGCCCTTCCTCAGACAGCCGGATAAAGATGTCCCTGCATGGGAGTGACGACACTCCCAACGAGTCGGGTGGTCGTTTTATGCCTGGGCTCGAGTCCCAAGTGCTATCGGAAAATGTCTCGCTGTCGCGCAATCCTGGAGTCACCTTTGACCCCGACATGTACTGGGAAATGAATTATCACGAGGCTGCTATTTTTCTCGAGGTAATATTCTTTTTTCTTTTTTTTTCTTTTTCCAAAACGATAAATTTTTTTCTTTAATGCGCCCTCGCAGGAAGGCCGAAATAACGAAAAATTCGATTCCCATCCAAGGCATCCAGAAGATCTACCGGCATATTTATTAGTCCACAACAGTTGGTATTACGGCCTTGATCTCTTCACATCTTTAATTTTGCTTGGTTTAGCTTTTGTGGAAGAACCAGCGGTGCCTCTGTTTCAAGTAAAATTTCATTTTGTTTCAAATGAAATGCGTTTTGTTTTTTTACTTATTAAAATTCTTGACCTTTTTAGCTTCCAGTATGGGCTCATGGTACAATAGAACTTTTAGCTTTAATCTCTATCGGCGTAGAATTAGCTTTAAAATTGAGATGGATCGGATGGGGCACTATGCTAAAACACAAGAGAACGATGCTAAAGGTAATTGATTTACGCGTCAATAAGTAAACCAACATACACGTCTACATTACTAACTTTATAAATGTAGACGTTATTTATACACGTGACCAGATTTATCCGGTATACTAATTTACGTTCTAGTGCTTATTTATGAATGCTAAAAGAACTATATCATCAAAGGCGAATGTACATGTGCACACGATAAAAACACAAAAATACCTAGCTGTCTATTGTTGCTAGGTACTAATGTTAATACAAACATTTCAGTGCATCACCCTTTTCATAATGTTTGTTGAGGCTCTCATCGTTTTGGTTCGGCAATCGTCGCACTTCAGGGTAACACGAGCGTTGCGACCCATTTTCTTAGTAGACACGAAATACTGCGGCGGCGTCCGAAGATTTATCCGACAAATTCTACAAACGTGTCCACCAATCATAGACATGCTGGGACTTTTGTTATTCTTCATTTTGACTTACATGGTTCTTGGGTACTACTTGTTTTTTGAAATGAACAGAAACTTTGCAACTCTGCAGGACAGTTTTGTCAGTCTTTTTGTTTTACTCACTACAGCAAAGTACGTATTTTATTCATAAAATATTGTGTATTTACTAAATAATAATAAAAAAAAAAAAAAAAAAAAATTATGTTTCAGTTTCCCAGACGTTATGATGCCATCGTTTTCGATAAACAAATGGTACGCGCTTTACTTTGTCTGTTACCTGTCCACTATGCTCTACATAATGATGAATCTCATGCTCGCTGTTGTCAATGAAACTTTCACTTCGGCCGAACGCGATAAGTTAAAAAAATTATTTCTCCACAAACGGAAAGCTTGTCAACACGCATTTAAACTTCTTGTTTCGAAACAAAATCCTGACCAAATGCGTTTCAAACAATTTGAGGGGTTGATGCGTTATTACGCTCCAAAGAAATGTAAGTTTTTTTTTCAAATAATTGTAAGTGAGTTCTTTTTTTTTTTTTTTTTTTTTTACAGTAGTAAAAGAAAATTTTCATATTACAGCAATGAAAGACATCGTGTTGATGTTTCGTTACTTGAACATATCTGGCAGTAGATTCTTGACATCCGATGAATTTCTAAATGTTTACGATGCCACGGTGTTAACTTGGGATCCTCAATACTCTAGTGTGCCATGGTACCACATGGCATGGCCTCCGTTGCAAATTCTCTGTCAAGGAGCTCATGCTGCTATTAACTGGCGGTACTTTGAAAGTCTGATTTGTAAGTAATCAGTTGTATTACATTGTTAAAAAATCCCTGTTTCGATTTGAAAAACGATTGTCATTCATTTTTTTCAGACACTGTTATTGTCGGCAATGGAGTTGCCATGGTTTGTCGTATGATACAACCAGAACCTGATCGAGAAACGTCAGCAAGTTTATTTGCTGCCAGCTGGGATACACTTCTTTTTGGTGGTTGTAAGTATAACTTGAATAATATATATTTTAAGTTTACATAGCTACACGGGTATTCTTGAGATGTACTTGTTTTCTGTTCTGTATAGTGTTTGCGGTAGAAGCTCTTACAAAAGTTCTAGGTCTTGGGGTAAGACGATATTTGAGTTCCGGTTGGAATCTTTTCGATCTCGGCACATCGGTGATGTTATTGGTAGCAGCTTGTGGCCTGACCCTTTTTCCTGGTGCAGTCTTCCTAGTTGTCTTCCGACCTTTGCGAATGTTGCGACTTTTTAAATTGAAAAAACGTTACCGTGATATCTTTGGCACTTTAGTCCTCCTCTCACCATTGATGTGTTCTACAGCAATTGTTATGGTGGTACTCTACTATTTCTTTGCTATTATCGGCATGGAGCTTTTTGCTGGATACGACATGAGAAATTGTTGCCAGTACGTAAATTCTGTGACAACAAAATTAACACTTATTAACAGGCAACTTAATTAATTGTGTATGGTCAACAGGAATACTACAGTGGAAGACTTTTACAAATATTCAGTGAATGGAAGTACAAGTTTAGGATATTACTATTTAAATACCTTTGATAATCTGATGGCTAGCTACATGACATTGTTTGAGCTTACTGTTGTTAATAATTGGTTTATACTGATGAACGCTTACGCTGTCACTGTTGGAATGTACACAAGAGGGTACTTTATGGTTTTCTACTTAATAACTATGATAGTTTTGACTATTGTAGTATCCAGTTTTCTTGAAGCTTTTCGCTTCAGAATTCAATACAAACGATCAACTTCAAAACGCGATGGTGATTTGATATCCCTTTAATCTCAACTAAAAATTAATTAAAAACATCTAATTAAAAACTTTTAATTTCAGAGGAAAAAATGCTACACGAAGAAGTTGAAATAAAATATGACGAATTACAATTAATTGTTCAAGACTACCGATTGCTAGAACAAATTCGCGAGTTTTTACCTGTTGGAGTAAGTATTGAAACTCAGACTAATACTGCTAAAAAATGCTTTAACAATTTATTTATTATTACATACGAGTTCTTGTACTTTGTACATCCATCAATACATGTAACATATTCGAGATTGAGACAAAGACTTTTTATTTTAAATTCTTATCTATTTACAGACAGCAGTATTTATCGGCTCTAGGCCACGAACGAGAGAAGTCCTACAACGTAGAATGTATATCCACGAAATCATGGAATGGCTTTCAGAAGCCAAATCACAAGAACGGTTCGGCACGTCCAGCGGTGTCAATAACTTTGACGAGGATAGCATAGATGAACACAGAACGGAAACGGATAGTGCAATACTAAACGGCGTCACGTTAACACAAAGAAGACAAAGTGCAGTTTTCAATTCTGCATAATTGTTGTATGTATATATAGCGAGTAAGAATTATGTTTTCTGTATTTTAACAAATTATGACGCAGAAGACGAGCACCTAGTCAAATGATTTATACGTTTTAGCAGCACGCGCTTTTTAGCAGTTTTATCAAAAAATCAAACAAATCGAGCTTAATTTCTATGACCAAATCGAATCGCGAGCATTTAATAATATTATAGTTTGTAACTATGTTGTTTAAAGGGCAATCAGCACATGATTATTTTTATTTAATGTCTTAAGCCATTTGGATAAGGAAACGACAAATTAGAAATAATTAAAAGTATTGTATAAAAATGAATGTAAAGGTACACATTTTTCAGAAATATTACGTAAATATTTTAAATGAACAATTCTTGATAGTTGCGATATAATGGAAAAAAGTAAAATATTTACATATGAAGCCTTTTATATTAAAATGTTTTCGAGGTAAAATGACGTGTTGCAATTTAGCTCTGATTGTAGAAATAGGTTTATTTTATTTTTGTTACCAAACAATATTCTCACCTGTAGTTGTGATAGATTATGTCAAATTAAAAAAAATCTATTTAAAAAGTATTATTGTATAAAGATTATAAGTTATTTTAAGATTAACTTTTATTTATGTATTTATTAACTATATTAGCTGCTAGAATTCAATTCCCTCCAAATTAAATTTGTATGATAAATTTTATAAACGTAAATTTCGTAAAAATATATACACATAACATTTTAAATACGTAAAAAGACGAAAACAAAGTTTAAATAAAAATATTTTTTACATACCCCGAACAGTGAATATCTCAATAGAAATATTTATAATATATACACATACAGTGTATAATAATTGTTTAAACAATCAACTTGTATGATGTGATTGATGTAAATGCGAAAACGGCGAAAATTGAAAACAATAAAAACGTTATTTAAGATACAAAAATTGAAATTATACTTGTTAGGTTTCCTAACTGTCCTCTGACGTTTTGTGAATCTGAACCCCTGAGCCTCCCAAATTTGTTTCCGATACTGTAAAACCACGACAAGTCAACTCAAAGCTTAAATCACGAACTTTTTCCTCTGGTGCATCGGGTGGAATGAGCACATAAGCAAACCCGCCTCCACCTGCACCCGTAAGCTTTGCTGAAAATCCGTATCTCTTAGCATTCGCACATATCGTGTCCAAAGAAGGATGCGAAACTTGACACGTAACCAAAAGACCTTGATTTATGTCTATCAGAACCTGCCGAATCATGAAAGAATTTAACGATGCTTTTAATGAAAAATTCGACTATTTAAACTAAACAATACTCACCGCAAGCTCGTTGAAAGCAGAACAATAGCGATCGTCATCGCCAACCGTCACAGTTTGCATCTCCCTGAGCAAGTGGATGACCCGCTTCGCGACCTCATCCATGGCCTGTAGAACTGGCTCAAATACTCGAGGATACGTGGTCTTCAGCCCACACAACCTCTCGACGAGGGTTTTGGTGCTGCGGCCGACCTTCGTGTCGACTATCAAGATTTTTATTTTTCTGGACTCGACAACGGGAATAAATTTGGGTGGGCTGCCTTTCCGGAACTCGACGACCGAGCCGAACGTGCAGACAGTATTGTCGATACCGGACGGCGCGCCATGCATGATTTTTTCGCAATTAAACGCTAAATTTGACACGATTTCCCGATCCTGGTGGTTCAGGTCGTACGGAGACCGGGGATCCCTTTGCAACCGAGCAAAGTGCAAAAAGCAGGTGACTAGACTGACGGAAAACGATGCCGAGCTGCCTTGACCCGAGCCGATCGACAGCTCGGTGTTGAGCTCCAGCCGGAAGGGCACCAGTTTCCAGGCCTTCTCCATCTGACTGACCTGGAGCATCGCGTACAGCAAACACTCGACGCCGCTTTTGTGCTGGGCCGTGTCGCACTTCAGGGTGTCGTCCACGAATTCGCGTATGTACGCGAGAGTGGCATCGTAATCGGATTCGTCCTTTTTCGGAGCATTGGCGCCGAAAAATCTGTCGCGCGTTTGATCGACGGGGATCCTCAGCGACAACCCGACTTTTCGCATCTCCACACAAATCGAAGACTCATCCTCGGGCAGCTGGTGAAAATCGAGGCTGGTGTGTTGATCCAAGCTTGCGGCAACAGCTGTTTTGTTGTAAACAACCGAGTGCTCGCCGAATAGGATGACTTTGCCCGGGGTCGAGATTTTGAACGATATCATCGCCGATCGTACGGCTCAAGCGCGACGGATCGGAAAGCTTGGAAGGGACTTTTGAGGGTGCAACTATTGACCGATAAACCGGCTTGCTTAAACGTTGAACGGGGCGCGTACAAGGTCCTTGAGAAGCGAATTTTCAACTGGTACCTAACCAAGTCTACAGCTGCTTTCTTCCGGTTTTTTTTTTTTTTTTTTTTTTTTTTTTTTTTTTTTTTTTTTTTTTTTTTTTTTTTTTTTTTTACTTTCTCCGCGCGACGACGATGTATACGACGGTAAAAGAGATAAATTGGAATGACATACTTTTTATTCGGAGTCTGGACGGCGCAGCAACAATCATCGAAAATTAAAGCTTATTGAATTTTTAATCAAAGAACGTCAGCCGATTACAATCAGAATTTATACAAAAAGAACTCAAAAACATTTTAATCAGCGTTGTGTAAACATGCGAGTCGTTGCTTGATAAAAAATATTTGCTCAGATATGTTTATGTATACTTATGTGCGATTCAATTGACACGATACTTTTCGGCTTTTAAGTATACCAATGAGGAAAGAAAAAAGAAAATTTATTTCGCGTCTCATTTTGATGATTGTATTAATGACAACAACTACTTTACGAATAACATATTATAATTGCCACGTATGTGGTACAGGAAAAGATTTATAGGTTTGCACGACTGAAATGAGGTTTAGCAAAGTAGCTTACTAAGGCTGCCTTACGAAGCCCTTACCCGTGCTTCGTTATGGTGCTTTTTCATGCCACTGCTCGTCCCAATGAATAATGTAGTAAACTATTGTGTATTGCAGTCCTTATGAATGATGGCTTCGTCTTTTTAATCATTTGACCGAGATTCGGTTGGTTTATTTGTTTATAATTAAATGTATTTACGCTTGCTGCTTCGATTCCGCCTCCCACTGCTCTGGAGTCAAAGTCTTCTGTGTAAATGCATGTATGCTTTTTAGTTCTTCTTGCAAAGTGGAGTTGACTAATCTGTGGTAACGGTTATTTTGTCAGGTGTCGGAAAGAAAAAAAAAAAAATTCAAAAAATTTAATTTTACCTGTGTCTCTGAAGAAGAGATTTGCCTTCGAATTTTTCCGATACGATAAGAACAGTAAACTTAGCACCGCAGCCGTCCGAATCATCGACGACTTCCTGAAAATATATGAAAATTTCCAAAATAAAAATAAATAAACAAAAACAGAATAAGGTGTTAATTATAAAATACTTGTACGCGTCTTGAAGATTTTTTTTTCCGTGCTTGTAGGAAGAGGAAACGACAATGTGAAGGCGCTATTGAGTAAAACTGCGTTTCGAAAAAACATGATGTAAATTTATTAATATTTATGCTTTACAGCCAACAGTTGGCTTTTTTTCATGTAAATTCACAGCAAACGACGAGCGTCTTTGGTATACCCGACCACAATGGCACTGCTCATCTTAATTCACAAACTTACAATAAAGTATATAAGTAGTACTTAGGTATTTTTTTGCATTCGTGACATCACAAGTCAAAATAACGATCACTGCATGGTAATTTTTAAATTTGCACAAAGAACGTAACTGAAGAAATACAATTTCTAAGATATTAGAAATAATGAGATTGCTTTGAAAATATCTTTTAATGAACCATAGGTATTCTGAATGAATGTATGTGTGATTAAACTGTAACTCATTAATAAACAAAATTATCAGGGACACATATTAGTGTTTTAATTATAGTTACTTTTTTAAATTAAGATACAAAAATCGTATGAAAAATCGAGTGATAGTTAATTGAATAATAAATACTATTTAATAGTAATGATAATAATAATTTCTATTTATGATATCTCACTATGTAAATTGATGTAATGTTGAGATTAAATAATTTACTTAATACTTGAATTAGAACAAGATAAGACTACTAATATCTGTTTCAATGAAAATTTTTTATACATAGACGTAATTAAAAAGCTATTACACATAAATTTTTTATCACGCTATTCGATGTAAGAAAACAGCCGCTGTCTTTTTGTTTTTTTAAGATACAATAAATTCAGCAATAAAGTTATTCATTATGAAAAGGAAAACTCATGCAGATTATCTAAATAAATAAAAATTACGACCCAGCTATCACTACATTGACTGATATAATGTCACAGTATGAAAGACGAATAAATTATACTATAGAAAATACACGCATGTTACAAACAAATTTTAACACAAAAACACTAATCAATGAATTTTTAAAATATTCATTATTACCACAGCAGTTTTATTTATGTTATGTATTGTTGCGTTTTAATGAAACGTGTTCAGTACATTTAAATACTAATTAAGTTACTTGACTTTGAATTTTCGTGCTGGAACAGTCACAGCGCAAAATTGTTTGTAATTAAAATAAATTAAGAACAATACAAAATGTCCGCACGAATATACAGATACAAGTAGCGGGTATAAGTCTGGATATCTTTTAGGTGGTTTTATAAACCCACTGCATAAAGATAAAATAAGTACACCTATAAGCGATAGAGTGAACAAAATATCAACATAAATATCACTAGTGGTCCACACACTGACACTTTTCTTCACTTTTACTTTTTTCGAACCTTGTTTCACAGTTTCTTCAAGTTTTTCTTCCTTAGGTTTCAGGATCGTGCTTATTTTTGGTTCAAACCACATCCAAGAGACTAGGACAATAAAAAATATAAGTGTAGCAATGTATGCAGAGTATAGTCCATCTTTGATCAATAAAGGCAGCATACTGAATACGGAAATCACAAGAAACCAAAAGCAAGGTAATGGATCTTTGTAGAATTGTAAAAGAACGGGTATTGCAACTAATAAAATAGATTTTTCATGAACTTGAAAGGAAAAGAGAAAAAAAGAAAGAGACGAATTTATGAGGGCTAGCAAAAATTTTTCTCTTGAGGGTCTGAAGAATAAATCAAGGCTACTTGGTAACAATGAAACAGTTGTAGATACAAGACATATTTGAGCCAATTGATAGTTGGTGAAATAATTTTTCAATTTATAAAAAACATTGACTGCACACCAAATATTAGCTACTTTGTCCTCAAAAATACCTCTTGCCAATGGAAAAAGTCTCAAAATTAAATCCATAAAAACTTTTTTGTCTCTTAAGAATGGAGCCCAAGTTACAAAAAATGTCATGATAACAGACATAGAAGTGCAAATTAATGTACGTAGACAAGGAAGCAATGTCTTTCTCTTTCCAGGAGTGTTGATACCAAGAATGTAAAAGAAACACGGAAGAGCGTGATAGAGCTCCATTTGCTTGTAACTTAGTGCAAGCATGAAAAAGATAGATCCAATGATGGGTGAGTTTTGAAAGAGTGCAGATGCAGCGGCAATAAAAAAGCCAAGTGAAACGCAATTGTACTGGAAATGTCCATAATCTATAAGAATCAAGCCAGGGTACAAAAGTATTGTGGCCAAAGTAAAGTGACGCTTCTTAAACATAAAAGACTCTTTACTATCGTTCTTCTCTTGCTGCTGCTTCTTAACTTTAGCATCAAAAAGTGGCAAGATCACGTTAACAAAGTAAATCACAGCTGGAATGAATACAGCCAGATCGGCGACTAGAACCGACAGTCTCATAAAGTACTTGTGCACAACCGACTCGTAACCTCTCGATTGGTGCAGCTTAACCGACTCGGGATCAACGACTTGAGCTACCCTGCCGAGAAGATAGCTGTGATAAGCGGTAAGAGGTGGATAATCCAAGCCCCAGTACTGCAAATTATTATCGGACGAGTTTGAATACCACTGGGTATGGGGCAAATTGACGGTTACCTCCTGCCAATGGCGCTGGGCCTCATAATCACCATACATGGGAGGCTTGCCAAAGCCGCTGTATGGATGGCAGGAGACGCACCAGCGGAGTACGAGAGCCAACCCGACGACAAGACAAATTTGCAGTACATCGGAGGAGAAGCAGAATGACGACGACGGTGACGCCGGCTCGCTTTTGCTCCGAGTCTGAAGCTTGGCTGCCGCTGCAGCTGCGTCGCTGCTATTGTTATGGCTGTTGTCCTTGCCACGAAACTGCTGGGCGCTCGTACTCTCGCGTTCACGCATTTTTTTACTCGTTTTTTTACTGCAATTACCTCGACGACGACAGGTTAACAGACAGGTTGCAGTATTTTTGAGGTTATGCGTTGGCGTCGTTTACTCTGTAGATGGTTAACACTCTTGCTTTTTAAACCTCGTACTGTATTTATACTTATATACTAAAACTACATGTACTTATACTTTATTACTCCCACTGATACGATATATTTTGTCTAAATCACGAATTACCAGACTTGGGTGCGAATTTTGTTAACACTTACGAGGTGCACTGGCTCGAGCTCTTCTTGAAGCTTCTTACGAAGATCCTCTGTGGAATATGGCATGGTGTTTTTCAAATGTATTGAGCGAGTATACTTTAGCTTGAATATTTCAAAATCACTAAGGATGAATATAAAAAGGTTACACGGTACACTTTGTTGCAAAATAAATACTTAGACACACTGTTATTTCAAGAGGTATGATGTGATGTGAGAGCCGATTTCTTCTGCAAATTGGATTATCATTGGACGCAGTTGGTCGTTGAACACATGTGTGAATTGTTCATTCAGTTCAGTAAATCAAGTAGAGCTATGTAGTGGTTATTGGAACTTGGAACTTGGAACATTTTATATTTCCGTACGTTCCTGAAGCATTAAATATGTTTCATTGTGAACGTTCATGTCGTTCATATTGAAAAGGGGGTTCCACTGTTCCGCTAAACTCAAATTGAGTGAGCAGACTGAACAGACCTACACTGTGTTCTCTATCAGTCAACGGCTTTGTTGCCTGATGGAAAAAGAGGTATAGGTCTGTTCAGTCTGCTCACTCAATTTGAGTTTAACGGAACATTGGAACCCCCTTTTCAATATGAACGTTCACAATGAAATAAGCAAAAAATGTCTATGTGAACAGCTCCAATAAAATTCTTGTACTGAAAACAAAAAAAAAATAAAAAATTGAAGAGGAGATCAGATTCAGGTTTAGGAATGAAATAATATTAAGAAAAAATGGTTATAATCATGACGTCAATTTTATGCTTTATTACTTTCTTATATAATTTGATACATAACGTCGTGGATGATCCTGTGTATGATCATGAAATAACAACAAAATCAACTGTATTATAATAAAAACACTTAGTAATAAACAACGAAACGAAGATTTGTTTTTCAATATTATGAGAACTAAGTAACAGTTGCGCACTCATTTCACTGTCATTGTCTCGAAATGGCTCGAAAAATGCGTTTTTTTACATGTGATGTTTTACAAAGATGTTGGTCCACATATTAACGCTTTAAATGCAACACGAAACAATAAATTAGAAAAAAAAAATCTCTAACTAAATTTTCTTAAATGTATTGTTACGTGGAAAAGAGATTGGTAAGGAGGTGCGTCGCGAGAATGATCAACACTTATTACGTCAAAGACCTTTATTCAAGATACCACATTTATAAGGCAAAGTCGCACGTGTTCCCTTTCGTGTTGCATTCAAAGAGCTTTTTACGTAATTTTTTTTTAAACATAGCTTGTTACGACTGAAAAATTTTTAAAAATATATATATCAAGTCACATTTTATGAAACCGCTTCAGAAACATTCTAGCATAGTTTCAACAAAAAAACTCTCAATGCAATACATGTAAACAAATTTCAAACTGTGTAATCAAATCGATCCATTAGGGTATATTGTATTTATAAGAAAAAAGTAAGTCCCTTCGGAAGTCTCTATCACAAAATAATGTCATTCAGGAATGTAAAAAAATAGCGAATTCGGGATATAAGTAAAAATGTAAACAGTTGTTACTTTGGCATGCAATTTTTATTGCACACGCAGATCAAACATAAGCTTCAAAATAAGTTTTTATTAGAATTAAAATACCTCTAATCAAATGTCCAAAAATGGCTATACATCTTGGTTTATACTTTTTTTGCGAAAAATTTTCAACCAATTTTAATAACTTAAAGTTAACAAATTTCGTAAACATCGTACACACTATTTTTAGCCAGCTTTACCACACATTGTTTTTCATCATTCCTCACTTACTCCTAGACCCTTTTGTCTTTTAGGGGTATTAGTCTTTACGGATTGGTCCCCATGCGGGGAGAGTAGTTTTTAGTTGGTAAGCACCCGGGTGAATTCGTCGATACCTCTAGTTTATTTTTTAAAGATGTCTCCTCCTTGCCCACAAAAAAAAAAATTTTTTTCCCGAATCGTAATTAATATAGTTGTTTGATGATTTATTTGTTTTAAAAAAGACGACTTTATTATGTTTATATTCAAGTATAAAAATATGTATTTGGATATTTGGACCATATATATAGATGACGCCGAAAACAGATGATTTCTTATGTTAACAAAAAATGATTTTTATTTAGCGAATCCAGCAAAAACTAACGAAAGCGTCATTGATTCCAAGACATAAATCGAAATTGAGAATTGCAATGTAAATTAACACTTAGCGATAAAACAAAATTAATAAAAAATACACGGGGAAAGGTATTTCAAACAAAAACTTAATTTCATATCAATACAACTCGATTGTTTTTTGTTTTGTTTTTTAAACCTTCCTTCGTGTAATATGAGCGAGGAATTCCATAAAATTCACCGTCATAGAAAAAATCACGGTAAGTCATCTTGACACAAGCGTAAAAATTGTTGCGGCTAATGGAAATTACCATGCAATTCTTGCCACATAGTACCAAGCTCATAGTTTCATGCCGTGCAACGAGATAAAAGTTTCCCTCATCCGAGCTAATGGAACATGTTACGATAGACTCGCTTTAGCGAGGGAAATATTGCTTCGCGGGTCTGACTGGCCACGCTTTCGTACGTGACGCTACTTTTTATAAAAATTGTTGAAATTTGTATACTTTTTATGAACGACTTTTTATAACAAGAAAATATGTTACGAGCTCCGAACAAATTAATACCGTACAGTTAGGTAATTTTTATGAAATTTTTCTCTCCGTGTACCTTAAAATATTTTTCATTACTGAAAGTTTTCAGTTACATGCTTGACATAACATAAAACTTAATGTGATTCGAGGTCGCGTACTCGCTTATATTTACAATAAACAATGACTTCAATACAACGTCTCGCGAGAATTCACATGGCACAAATTCTGCGTCACCTCATTCGAATTCGTCATGTAATCAAAAACAATACATTTTTGGTGCTACACGAGACGAGAACTCGTTTACAAACTCTTGGTGAACCATGTACGCCAAGTTATTTAATTCGTCACCTCGTCTATCATTAACGTAATAATATGTATTAAAAAACGAGTTAGTAGCCATGACCGCATTTATTTCGAAACACAAAATTTAATTGTTGTCAGACCCGCTATACATGTAATAAAATAATGATGATTTATTTATCTCTTACTTCGTAAATTAAACTTTTCAGCCTCCAAACATATAAATGATATTTTTTGCAAAACATCAGTTAATGCATTTTGTTAAAATCCCAAAATTATGTTTCCTGGATGAAAAAATTCCCGTGGAAATGAAAAAATGTTCCCCGGACAAGCACCAGACCCGAGGGACCCTTTGTGCTTGCCCCGGTTGGATGAGCACCACATGCGAACATGATTTTTCTACTAAGGGCGTAGTAAACGTCCAAAGGTTAAAAAAACGCCTAAAGTAGGAACAGTAATTTTCGTCACTGGTGCGTATCCTTCCAGGGCGATCATTGGGCCCAAGGGCACTCGCGCGATGGCCCTCGCCTGATACGCCTCAGTGGCGAACCATATTTTTTTTACCGAGACTGCAGTATGGACGTCCAAATGTCACGGAAAATGGCCCGAGGTAGGAAAAATGAATTTTCCGCCCTCGGGTGGTTTTGGGAGGCTGGTACTTCCTCGGGCGAAAAAACAGTTTTCCGCCCTCGGGTGGTTTTGGGAGGCTGGTACTTCCTCGGGCGAAAAAGCAGTTTTCTGGAACTCGTTCGAAAAGTCTCCTTTACGAACCTCGTTACGGACCTCGCCTTCGGCTCGGGCCGCAAACCTCTTGGTTCGCAAACAAAGACTTTTCAAACTCGTAGGAAAACTACCATTTTTTTTTTTTTTTTTTTTTCATGAAAATTACTAATTTTTATGTGCTGAATAAAAAAAATTGGTTTTTGTTATGTTATATCAACTTATTTAAAAAATTATATAAGCACAGTTCCGATAATATGGAACAAATTTAATAATTGAGACGAAACAATCAATACTTCACTCCAAAATCTTTGTAATTTTACTTTACATGGTGGGAAATGAGTTTAAGATTAACGTGAAAATTTTCTGAATAAAGCCTAAGAGGGAACACAAGAGATTATGAATCAGCAAAGCTTGTCAGCGTTTGACTTGGGTAAGCGGCCACAGAAAAAAAAAAAAAAAAAATGTACACAGCAAGTTTTTAATTTTGGGGATTTTAAAAAGAGACATTTTTGTTTCAAACTTGAAAATAGCAAAAAAAAAAAAAAAAAAATGTACACAGCAAGTTTTTAATTTTGGGGATTTTAAAAAGAGACATTTTTGTTTCAAACTTGAAAATAGCATTTAGAGGTAAGGAAGTTAAATAATAATAATCTGGGGAGTTAGAGATATACTAAATCACATGTGTATATATACATCATGCTACTCGTTAGCATTATTTTTTCACATATCACGTATTTTTTCGTTTTTTTTGGCGATATTATTTTTGTGTTAACAATCCCTATGTTTTTGCTTCGTAAAATCTAATTAGACAAATTTTACATTACCTAGTATGGAATATTTACATTACTACAGCACTAAAGTAGCTGATAATTCAATAAACTTCATTCAATAGAAAATACTTTTATCATTCGTGGTTTTATGTTACGGTAAAATTTGTCAAACAAAATATTTTTATCAAAACTAAATATGAAAAATAATCTGTTAAAAAATCATCGTTATCGTTGCGAGTTGTAAATAACATTAAATGATTTGTTGGTGCATGAATAAATAAAAAAAATTTTTTTTTTAAATATAACAGCTTCGAATTTTACGCCAAAAAATAAATAATTGCAAACACTCGCAATTTCGAATAAAATTTGTATATACGAAACTAACCTTTAGTATTATAGTCACTACTATAATTTCTCGTGATCAAGTCCTTCTTAATTGATTTTTGTAACCGATGTAACTCACTTAAGATGCTATTTCTTGTATTTACAATTGTTTCAACAGTCTTTTTTTGAGAATTTTCTGTACAACCCTTATTGGATTCCACAAATTGTAAAATTTTTGCATTACAACTTTTAAAAACAACTTTACTGACGACGTTATTGTTGTTATTTTTTCGAATATTCACTCTGTCACCATCATGCTCTGCATCACCATCGCTATCATCACTATCGAGTGCACTTGCAGTAGATCGTGGAGTAAACCACGAATAAGAACGTAAGTCAGAACTAGTGGAATTGCAACTGGCTGAGTTGTACACGCTTGAAACATAATTAGAAGAGCTACAACTGTTTGAAGCGTAACTGGTTTCATGTTCTGTTACTTTGTGTGATACATCATTACTTGATATGGAAGCACCAGTTTCTGATAATGCACTTTCCGATGCATTCTCTGAAGTTCCATCGTAATAATCGCTGGAGTAGTCTTGTTCTACATTTTTTACGATTCCTACTTCGTCAACAGTTTTTTTTTCTCTTACTTCTGTATTGAAGCTGGAAACTTTTGAATTTTGCAAAGCGTTAGACAATTTTGTCCTATACTTATTCAAAGCTTTTATTTTTTCGCTATTGCTAAGATATCCTGTTGAAGGCGAGGAATCTGTTTCACGAGGTTTTTCGATATTATTTCGTCTTGTTTCATTTTTAAGACACTCTTTTAATAATTCCGATGGATTTCTCAAACATCTTTGATAGTGCTTCAAAGTGTTTTCATGTTTTGGAGAACTATAATTTCCTGGAGCTGCTAAATTATTTGCTACCATCCACTTGCTTATGTCAAGATTGAAACTATTTATGGCAATCAATTTCACAACCATAGAGTTCCTCTAAAAAAATAAATTACTCACATACTTTTTTTTTTTTTTTTTTTCTTTAAAATTGAATGGTAGAAAGTAATAATTTACCTCTTCATTAATACTTTTAATACGTGCAGCAAAAGATTTTTCCAATACTTTATTCGAAAAAGCTTTGCATTCTTCTTTTTCCCATTTAAGTTTGTTCAGTGGTTGAACGTTGTACAAACTACAAGGAATAGCTTGAGCTGGAAAAGAAGAAAATTTCTTTTCCAAAAAGTACAGTTCGTTTGGTTTGTAAAAGTTAAGTGTACCATAATCATACAGGAGGACCTAAAAATTTAAGTTAATTATTTCCAGGTCCTTTCTACAAAAGTATTATGTTATATCTTAAATCGCGAAACATGGGTACTGACACCCCAAAGGAATTACACAATTGTCGACTCATACTACGATTTTAAACGTGAGATGTAATATTTATTTAAAAAAGCATAAGTATATTTGTACGGATGGTTAGAATTTGCACATGAGAAATTAGTTTCTCAGAAGTATAAGCCCAGTGAGTAAGGGGCTGAGACTTACACTAGTGAGCCTGTATCACCCGAGTTCCTGAGCTACAAAAACTGCAGCTTAAACCACTGTGCTATCGTGTTTTCCTCAATAAAGATCAATTTGTTTTCAATTAAAAAGTATTTGTATTTAAAATTAATTGTACTCACGACTATCTTGCCATCTTTGATTTTTGTTATCACACCTCTGTACCACACATTAGCATACATACAAGCAACATTAAATCCTGGTTGAAGTAGGATTGGTGTGATTTCATACTTCTCTAACTTTTGCTGTTCATAAAAATCACTAAAATATTAAATAAAGAACATTAAGACATTTTTGTAAATTAATGTGCATGTAAAGACTTAAGGTAAAATACATTACTTCATTTTTTTTACGAATGAATTTATTTTCTTTTTATACTTTAACAGTGTTACCCAAAAAAAAGTTGGATAAAATATTTCAGAAACGACAACATCTATATACTCTTTATCTTTATAGGATGTTACATTTGGTTGATTAACAATATCCCCACAGCTCATGAAGTTATCTGGGATTAATGTTTTGGATACTGGAGAGGACTGTAAAAACCACCATTTAACTGGTTATTTGTTGGATAGATAATTTAAAAATTGAATTATGATTATTCAACACTTATACAGTACAGAAAGAGTACTAGAAATATATTCCAACATACCACGACTTTAGGAACTGCATCAAGAACGTATCGCCTTTCTTCTGATGGTTCACAAGGTTGTTTCTTAGAAAAATCTATATATGCTTTTACGGAATCTAAAAACTCTTCATTCACTGGTTTTCTAGCATCAATAACTACTTGTTTTGTGCATTTCAAAGGTTTAACGATTTTTAAAATATCGGGTAAAGCCACAACGAATTCAAGGATACTGTTAAATCCCAAATCACAGTATTCCAAATCCAGTTTAAACTCGCGACAGAATACTTGAGGCAACTCTGAGCAAATTATGCCATAAGGATATTTTTCTACTAATTCTTGCAATCTAATTTTTGTCTTTTCTCTAATCATGTCACTCACACAATGGAATAACATTGTGCCATTTTTATCACTCGAATGGTCATGGTTTGCCTTACTATTACGCTTACTTTCCAATATTTTATCCATTTTAAAGAAAATACGGTCATCGTCATAATTCAAAATGTGATTATAGTGAGCCAACTGTTTTTCCAAATTTTCCATTTGGTAAAATGAGTACGTACCAGTGTTAGTTGTAAGTTCAGTTAAAACATCTTGTTTGCTTATGCTGTTTCTTCTTTGGAATGATATTTTTTGAGATAATTTGTTAAAAACATTGCACAGCACATGAGGGCTTACTGTGTTACCGCATTGCAAGGCTTTAAAATTTAGTCTACATTTTTGTTTGGACTTAAAATTTTTATCTTTGTTTAAAGATACCAATCTACTGATATGTTTTGTTTTTTCGTTTTCGATATAATACACACATAGCTGTTCTTGGTTGTTCAACCTTAAACGACAAACGTCATTCAAACTTCTGAGAAAGTCCACCAAGTTGGTGAATTTGTAATCTTTGAATGGAATGTCGGTATCTTCCAACTCTTTGAACATATTGTTTAACTGAGTCGGCGTCACATCCTTATTTTTTTCAGAAATCAATACCGATTTTATAACACTTTTGAGCTCTTCTAGCTGCGCCAAATTAGAAACACACGTTATTGTCGGCATTTTTATGTTATTTTTAAACTATTTAGATGAATTCCAATGTATTTTTTTTACATTTGACCTCTACTCCGAACTATGAGAATAACTTTTAGTACTTCACATGGGAAAGAAACTTCTCATTATCAAATTAAAACAAAACATGATATATGTTTTTGTTTATACGATATAGAACACAACATTTCTAGACGTATAGAGAATGGAGCACGACTGTTTAGAGGTTAGGAGAATGTAAACAAATTATGCAACATGGAGCGGGGAAAATAAAAGGTACGATAAAACATCTCTTAACTTTTTACACCAAAAAATATGTGTATGTAATTAAACTTTCTCACTATTTCGATGACATGATAAACAATACACAACAACAATCATAAACCACATGGGTACGGAATGCGGAATTGCAAACTATGGTGGTGTTGTGTGTGATGTACGTATGACACCAGATTCAGAACACTCAGGTGCCCAGGTCCAGTCCAGAACAAGACGAGATGAGACGATAATTACTACTCGACAGTACCCTATATAGTAATATAGTGCACCGGTGCACGGAGTAAGAAGAGCCTATGAAACGGGGGGGGGGGGGGGGAAAGTCGGAACAAAAAGTAGTAATGCTCATGCACACTTTGAAATCCAAGTTTACTCATCGGAATGCATTTAGGAACGACCATAGACTAAAAAATAGACTGCTCGTTCTTATGTACGGCGCTGAAGCACAGGTAGAAAGAGACACAACATCGAACGTGTGTATCTGTCTCTCTCGCACATTCCCACCTTTGGCAAGTGCAAATCTTGCACTTCATATTTTAATTCTTACAAATTTTTTTTAATGAACTTATTTTATCACTATGCGATATCAAAATTTTGAAAGGACATAGGTAGTTGTATAATTTTTAAGATTATTAAATTACTATGATTTATGATTGAATCCGGGTTTTCATGGAGAAGTCATTAAATATACCTACATTGAGGTAGATAGTATTCAAGAGAGGTAAGATGAGCGAATAATAATAGTGTTACAAGATTTTTTAAGTTCGTATTTTATTTCAACAGAACGCGCAACGTGAGATAAAAACTCGACAATAGGCGTTAAAAATCCATTCAATATTACAATATATATTATATCTGTATACTGTGTGCACAACACATACTTCTTCAAAGATTTTCATTAAACAGTATACAAATTACACTCAACGTAATAAATGCACTGTTGCATACAAAGTAATACATGGTGATATAATTTTTTTAGAAAAAGCTAGTCTTTCTGTCTTTGAGACACATGCACATGTACTCTGGTTCTCTCATTCATTCTATTTGACCGTTCATACTTTAATTCAAGATAATTATTTATATTATAATCAAAACGACAAGTTTTTACAGTGCACATGTCAGTTATCTTAGTGTGTTTATTCACAATAAGATATACGGAATGTGAACTCTGTGAAAAAATTAATGCACTTTTTGTTGACTTACAACCTTCATAAAAAAACAACAGTCATAACTATTCTTTATTTGGTTTTCTTCTTCGTGGTCCCTCGGCTTTCCCGGATGATTCACCCTGCGAAAAATTTACTTATATATTATTCTGACACAAGTTGTTATCTAAAAGCATGTTTGTTCGTTTTTTACCTGTTCATCTGGAATAATTTCTTCAGTTTCTGATTCTTCTTTATCTTCAAGCTCTTCTATCGTTTCTTCAGCTTTATCTTTTTCCGTAGCTTCCTCATCTTTCTCTAAATCAGCATCTTTTTCTTTTTGAATCAAAGCTTCCGCTTCAGCTTCAGCTTCATCATCATTTTGCGATTCTTTTGTATCCTACACATTAAGTATGGATTTAATTTATGTTTGATTTTTTTTTCTTTTTTTTTCTTTTTTTTTTTTTTTTTTTCTTTAAAATTGAATGGTAGAAAGTAATAATTTACCTCTTCATTAATACTTTTAATACGTGCAGCAAAAGATTTTTCCAATACTTTATTCGAAAAAGCTTTGCATTCTTCTTTTTCCCATTTAAGTTTGTTCAGTGGTTGAACGTTGTACAAACTACAAGGAATAGCTTGAGCTGGAAAAGAAGAAAATTTCTTTTCCAAAAAGTACAGTTCGTTTGGTTTGTAAAAGTTAAGTGTACCATAATCATACAGGAGGACCTAAAAATTTAAGTTAATTATTTCCAGGTCCTTTCTACAAAAGTATTATGTTATATCTTAAATCGCGAAACATGGGTACTGACACCCCAAAGGAATTACACAATTGTCGACTCATACTACGATTTTAAACGTGAGATGTAATATTTATTTAAAAAAGCATAAGTATATTTGTACGGATGGTTAGAATTTGCACATGAGAAATTAGTTTCTCAGAAGTATAAGCCCAGTGAGTAAGGGGCTGAGACTTACACTAGTGAGCCTGTATCACCCGAGTTCCTGAGCTACAAAAACTGCAGCTTAAACCACTGTGCTATCGTGTTTTCCTCAATAAAGATCAATTTGTTTTCAATTAAAAAGTATTTGTATTTAAAATTAATTGTACTCACGACTATCTTGCCATCTTTGATTTTTGTTATCACACCTCTGTACCACACATTAGCATACATACAAGCAACATTAAATCCTGGTTGAAGTAGGATTGGTGTGATTTCATACTTCTCTAACTTTTGCTGTTCATAAAAATCACTAAAATATTAAATAAAGAACATTAAGACATTTTTGTAAATTAATGTGCATGTAAAGACTTAAGGTAAAATACATTACTTCATTTTTTTTACGAATGAATTTATTTTCTTTTTATACTTTAACAGTGTTACCCAAAAAAAGTTGGATAAAATATTTCAGAAACGACAACATCTATATACTCTTTATCTTTATAGGATGTTACATTTGGTTGATTAACAATATCCCCACAGCTCATGAAGTTATCTGGGATTAATGTTTTGGATACTGGAGAGGACTGTAAAAACCACCATTTAACTGGTTATTTGTTGGATAGATAATTTAAAAATTGAATTATGATTATTCAACACTTATACAGTACAGAAAGAGTACTAGAAATATATTCCAACATACCACGACTTTAGGAACTGCATCAAGAACGTATCGCCTTTCTTCTGATGGTTCACAAGGTTGTTTCTTAGAAAAATCTATATATGCTTTTACGGAATCTAAAAACTCTTCATTCACTGGTTTTCTAGCATCAATAACTACTTGTTTTGTGCATTTCAAAGGTTTAA